TCTAAAATTGAAAAAATGGAATCCAAGGTTTAATTTTAATTGATATAAATATCGAAAATTGGGGCCAAATTTAATAAATTGACAATTCAATTTTATCAAAAAGACAAATGGCCATTAGGTACACGCATTCGTTCCCTACAAAATTATTGATGATATCCTCCAAGTAATTGAGGCATGGAAATTACAAAACCTAGTGTGTATGCTTATGAAATAAGAGAGCGACTTCTGCTCGAAGGTATCTGTAATTTAGATGATTTACCTTCTTCATCACGAGTCGAATAATGAACTGAATTTTCATTTGAATATAGTATTGCAATATTGCATTATTCCGGTTCGTACGTATAATGATTTCATTGATCGAATATAGGGGTCAACGCTTGAGCTTGTTTGACTATTATGAGACTGTCTGAATAAGATGCAGGCATGAAGGGAAATATAAAAAAATAAATTCCAAAATTAGAGAAGAATATTATAAATACCTAAATGAACATAAGCATAACAAGGTAAAAAACTATTAACGTCTTTCAAGATAATTCTGGCTTTCATATTTAAGTAGAAGGAATCAGCGAACATCAACTGCAAGGAGTTAATAATTAATAATTTGAAATAAAATAAATAATAAATTCAAAATGAGGTCAAGGAACGGCCGAGGGGGTAATCTAAATTCGTTTGATAACCCTCGTCCAACGGACCTCAAACACTATAAGGGCCGATTGAATATTTATGTAGCAAAACCAAGGTACAGTTTGCCATGTGGGATGACTTACAACCCTTAATATGGAATTCTATGCTCAAAATATGACAATAGGTTTATCGTCACTATATTTCACGTCCACACTAGCGTTTTCTCAGGACACTAATCGTAAAAAATGCAATGTCATCATCTGCGCATGCGAAAACAGACGTGCCATCGTGAATGACGTCAGCGTTTTCAAAATCCTCCGTTTTTTTCGCTTTCTACGCTGATACGATATAGGCCTCCGTTTACAAATAGAAAGCGTTCTAATATAATTTGTTTTGGAAGAAAACGTTCAGCGATTTCGGTTGTTTTGGTGAAGAGTAAGGCCAACTGGTAAACAGTGCCTGAATACCGGTCGTAAATCCCGGGCTGACATTACTACCCATCCCCTTTCGTTTTAATAACTCGATCAAACAGAGAACATCACAGAACAGGAATATGGGTCTTTTCATGCTGCAGCCATTGGTTTGAAGAATAGATTTAACCACTTAGCGTAGCCTCGCATTCAAGTCCTTGAAAATTGATTGATACGGGTTAAACAAAGATTTTTACTCTCATGAGAATAAACATGACCGCCTTGTCGTTTTGGGTATTATTGGGTGGGTAAGAAAAACAACTAAACGTTCATAAACAATGATTTTTACTTTCCATCGTTTTAAAAACTTAACTCGCTCTCGACCCCTGAGCCCTGTCATTCTGCGCATGCTCGCCGAAATACAAACGAATGACAGGGCACTGGGGTTGACAGTGAAACATAAATTAGTTCTAACACAGTATTGTTCCATCTGATAAGATCAGATCAGATCAATTAATACTACACGAGTAAGAAATTGAATTGTCTCTTGAGATTAGCACTATCTGTGATCAACATATCTAAGGACATCCAAAAACTAATATATACAATCTCAGTCTTAATAGCCTCTGCTCAGAGACAACTTCTAATTTTGGGGTTCCTGTGTAGTCAAAGAGATGAGAATGGGTCCGTCATCTCTCTTCCACATCTCAGTCCAACAGGAATCCCATAAGATTCAATAGACAGTCTATAATTACCAATTGAACTTCACTTTACACTATCGCTTCAAAGAATTATCCAAGCCGTTCTAGTACGCTTTAGCATTCGGTGTGATAAGTAAAGCTTCTCATATCTCCAGATTACGATATTATCATAATTTCAAAATGATGAGGCGTTGCTTGAAAGAAGCTACGAATGTAAAGTTTGGAGTTTCATTTTCGTTCCACTCTCAAATTTTGTTTGTAGTTTCTTCATATTTATGAATATCGTAGCTTCGTGGTTTCGTGAAGACGTGAATAGCTTCCTTAGGTTTGAGAAAACGTCGCTAGACGAACGTCAGTGGGCATATAATTATATTTAACTGTTTTATTAGTTAAACTCTCTGGCAGTTCGGCTAGCCAACTCGGCAAACCATTTATTTGACCAGAGGTAGAACAAGGCCTGGACTACTGACCACGGACTATATGGCAACATTTGTTATGACAATTTGATCTTCCTCAATGGATAGCCTGTAATATTTAGCACCATTTTTATTGCATATATTCATACGCAGGTGTTGACATCGTTTTCTTGTTGAACACCACAGTCCATTTATATCGAGCACAAAATCACCTAAAGTTGCTTTGGGACAATGCACTTGAGCGCTTGGTCTTTGATGTTGTGCTACGATCCGTCCTGTAAATAAGATAGCAACAACCATGTCAAACGAACTATACATTATACTCAATCAAAGTAGAGTTTCTACCTAAAGTTTCCCTCTTGATTCGAGCATTTCCTCAGGGTTCTCCGGCTTTCCTCCCTCCGAAAAACCGAACGAGCTAAATCCCAATTCGAATTTGAGTTAGCGGGGCCCTGAATTTGATCAGCCCAGAGGTTTGTTTCAGGGTTCAATCTGTGAGTTAGTCGTGCCCTGACTTTTACAAGCCCAAAGGTTGTTTCAGGGTACGATATGTGAGTTAGTCGTGCCCTGGCTTTGATCAGCCTAGAGGTTGTTTCAGGGTTCGATCTGTGAGGTAACCGCGCCCTGACTTTGATCAGCCCAGAGGTGTGCAGTCAGACTAAGAGACACTGCATTGTTTTTGTTATATATTTCAAAGAGAGTTAGATCAAAGGTAACCTCTTACTTTGGTGGTAATTCCATTAATATTACATAATAGCCATTAGTTCTGACTTACGTTTTGTCTATTTTTGTTTTAGTAGCAGACTTTGATGTGGAAGTATATGAACTACTCAGAGCAGGCGAATCCTTGCGACCGGCTCCACCTAACGATGACGAGGTCGCGGAAGATGCCGAAGGTAAAGCTGACGACATATTCGGTAATCTTTGGAGACTTGTCGATGGCGAACTTTTAGATGAACCAAGAGTTTTGGATTGTGCTGTGTAGCTTTTTGAAGCCATCTTGGACGATCCTGAACTCCCTGTAATGTGAATGTATAGAGCGCATTGCATCAGTAAAGTATTGCGTAGCCTATTTTTTATTGATTTTAGTAATAGGCTAGTTATATTCTCCTTGTTTATGCGTGATGTTGTCCACTCCCAAGAGTAAAAAGACAAATTTTGGCGCCGTTAACAATGGATGCCAATAAGAAATCTTTTGTTAAATGGCACCAACGCTCCCTGAGAGGCCGCGATGACAACAATCGAAGAATTCTATATCATATCATTCCCTTGAGTATAATGATGCTTTCCATTAGACAATGGACCCTTTCAAAATTAGCTAACATAAAAATACAAAAGAATTTACCTTTTTTTCAATGGAATTTGTGGCATTTCTTTCGTATTTCCATGTTAGCCTCACATTCAAGATATTTTTGAGAAGAGTCCATTCCCATATTTTGAATTGATTGAGGGTAGGGATGACTCATTCATAAATAAGGCTCATTTAACTATCACTAGTTATAGCCGAAACGTCATGTTTTGATCAAATCTCTACGTTCTATCCGAAATCCTACATTCAATATCATGTCTAAACGCGAAAGCTACAAAGATGCTATCAGTGTTAGCCTCATTTCAGCATCACAATTACCAACAGGTAAAGTAACGAATGCACTGACTTCAACAATAAAAAAAGTTCCACAGACCTTTACTGCAATTCATGAATATCCTATACACAAAATCGAGACTAACCCTGAGCAACAGAGAACTCGAAACTGGAATATTTTTATGTACGCTGGTAATGAACAAAATATAAATCCTTTAGAATAATCCAGATTTTACCTGAAGCTTGAGGGTTAGTAGTTTTCTTTGCATTTTGTCCGTCACTCTTGCTGCCTTTATTTTTAATTGAACCTGTTAAATAACGACGAAATAAGTAGCTTAGTTAATACAGATGATCTTTATTATGGAGGTACTTCCACTTTCTCACGCTGGGTACTGACCCTAAAGTATTAAGACCGAGCCATGATTTTTGCAGATTAACGCACAAAAATTCACGGACAGGTTCTGCCTTGCAGTGCAATGCGTCATGCAGCATCATATTGACCATATAATAACCATATTGCCTATTCATTCTTAGCGTTGCGTGACGACACTAACAATGTCTGCGGGAGAGACTATTTCATTCTGCAACACACTTACCTTTTCTAATATTTTTATCGTCTCTATTGCCTTTTTTCCGCAAGTCAGACGGTTGACGCCCCCCAGCCATTTCTTCTTTCTCTTTATCCTCCTTAAAACGCAATTAAAAAAAACTGTCATTCTAACTGGGACTTTGTAATCATGATTATGATACTTATATAGCGCTCTTTTCCATATGGATATGTTCAAAGGCGCTTTACAATGAGATATGAAAGAGAGGTGGTTAGTATGAGTTGCAGGCACTGAGGGTGGTCACTGCCAGGGTTTCTTTCGTCCTCAGTGGTTCTTTTACGTCCCTCCGATATTGGTTAGTAATATATGATGAAGTGTAGAGAGAGGGGACCGCCATTTTAAAGTGGTCTTTCGCGCCACTTGAAGGTCTTGCCGTTTGCAGACGCAGCACCTTCTTCTCAGTTATTTTAAGACCCTGAGTGTTGGTACGGCCGAGGCTTGAACCACGGGCTCCCGCAGAACAGACCGACGCTAGTAAACTCGGATATTACACCCATTTTGATGATCACGCGACCAACACAACCGAAGATGTCTGGGTTTTATTACCGCCGATCGAAAAAAATACTAGCTAAGAACGTTGAATATTTGAAGACAAAAAGCAGAAAGACTCGAATTCATTACAGATGGTAGTCTGAGTCGCGTATTTTATGAAAATGAGTATAAACCATACCATTCACGAGTTCTATTGAGGTGCAAAGGACATCCCTCTGTACATGGAGAAAATAAACACATATACAAAGGATCATATCATTTTGCCTGGCCGCAGACGCTGGTATCCCAGGCAACCCATACCATGCACAGGTTCTATTGAGGTCCAAAGGACATCCCTCTGTATATGGAGAAAATAATCACATATACAAGGGATCGTATCATTTTGCCTGGCCGCAGACGCTGGTATCCCAGGCAACCCATACCATGCACAGGTTCTATTGAGGTCCAAAGGACATCCATCCCTCCGTACACGGAGTAAATAAACCTTTAGACAAGGGATCATATCATTTTGCCTGGCCGCAGTATCTAGTATCTGTTTAGTATCCAGAGTAAATAAACCTATCAACAACGTTCATTTTGCCATTCATCAAAAATAGATAGCAGTTTGACATCACCATTACATAAATGACTTACCATGGCTTTAAGAAGTTTTTCTTCCTCTTCTTTCTTTTGATCATTTAAGTCATCTTCAAACACAGTTCTTCGAGAATACTGTCCAAAAAATTGGAATTTGATCAGAAATGTCTATGACTAATGAACCAGTAAATGACGCTCATCATGAGTCTTTCCTATAGCTCAGTGGTAGAGCATCTAACTGGTATCAGGAAAGTCATGGGTTTAATATCTCAGTATCAGAGCCTGATTTTTTTCTTCCGATTTTCTTTCAGCTAGAGACAAATAATCAATACCTTGAATACAATGTCTAGGCCCTAGGCAAGTTAAGGACATAGTTCTTCAAATTGACCACAGGTACACATCATTGTGGTCAACAAAAAGTGAGACAGCGTTTTTGATTTCATTGCAGCCAAAAGTGTCGGACTTGAAATGTTGTATGTACGTCTTAGTACTGTTCTCTTTTTATCCTTTTCAGTTTCATTCTCTCTAGTTATTTTTCTACCTAATCATAGCTACATCAACAACTTTAGCCTAAGGTTAATAACTAAAATCATTTCTCAATTGACACGGTTTTCTTTGTTATTCACAAGGCTTTATTTTTGTTATTATATATAGTTAGTTATTAACCCGGTTAATAACTATATATAGACCGTTCGCATTTATAATGAGCAACATTTGATAGAAAACCTTCTCAATTGATAAATAAAATACTTTATTACCTCGAACAGAGGCAATAAGCCCTGCGGCCCTCGGGATGTATATGGCTTATTGCCTCCGTTCTCGGTAATTAACTCTTACGCAATCCTTACCATATCCATGGCAATTTCTATTTTATCCAGTTTCATTACAGCCTTGAATAAAAAGAAAGAAAAAACGATAATAAATCATTACTCCAATACTACAAGGAAGAGATTTATGGTTTTTGCGTTATTATTAGTACAATATTTATTTTGGTAAACCACTGTTTTCATTTCTACACGCTGATCGAGACAACAGTCAATACTGGGAAATCAGGCGAATACTGCCGTCAATCAGAGTATGTAACGATACCGAACAATTTATTTGATTGGTGGTTGTGTATTTCTCATTATCCCAGTCGTGACTATCGTCTTGATAAGCGTGTAGGGTTAGCAGTGAAAACAGTGGTAGAACAACCTAGTAAACACATCCACATCAAGAACAAAATTGAAATGGATTCTGGTAGTGGTGGTATTCAGATGGTAAAAAAAGGGAAGATAAATCCTTGAGAACAAACCTCTCGAATTGCTGCACAGACATCTGGTTCCTGCTCAGAGCTCAATAATTTTCGAACGCACTGTTCAAGTTGTTGTAGTAAGGCACGATCTGACAGTTTGAGGACGGATTTTAGTGTTGGTAATACGGAACAAAACTTTAACCGAACATTCAGTACTGGATCCTATCAAATAAAAAAAAGATAATATGGTGGATTAAACTAGTTGAAAGAGCAATTGTCATAAACCAAGAATTATTGAATTTTCCTGATTTAACAGGAAACATGGAACAAAAACCCTTAATATTATCCAAGCTTGAAACAACCTCTGGGCTCATCTAAGTCAGGGCACAATTAACTCACAATGAAACCCTGAAACAACCTTTGGGATGATCAAAGTCAGGGCACTGTTAGCTCATTGGGAATTGGGATTTTAAAATGTAAGGTTTTGCAGAGAGAAAAACCATTAACCCAATAAACTCACAGGAGTTCAGAAATCAAACTGTAGTTCCAGAGGTAAGAGATGTCGTGCGCTACTGCTACACCTACCTTCATCCCTCCCCTCCCCCCATTAGCTGTGAATGTAACAAGCTACTTAATTTATTAAGTATAACTATACTCACTTACCGAAGCCAATTCCAATAAAAACTCAAAGAAATTCTCTTTGAAAAAACTTCTAGAGAATAAATCCATGATAAATTTGCAGATGTCAATGAAAAGTAGTCTTGATTTATAACTCTTGCCTCTTCCGCATTCTGGCAAGAAAGAAAAAAGACAAAGGTAAGGACAACAAATCATATTATCATAAACGCTGCACAAGCAAAAAAAAGACAACAATATTATTGCAGGGTCCTTAGGGAATATTTTTAATAGTGGTGGCAAAAAGAAGGCAAAATTCTGGTCATTGCCGTTATTTTTAAATTACCAAAATGAGGTAAGTTTAATTGTAATCAATAGGGCTATAGCCTAATTTGCCCTTCCATAATCTTCCATAATTAGTACAGCAATAGAGATACTGATTCAATACCTTGTATTAGTCTACAGCACAATTCCTGTCTTTGCTCAAATTTTCTGTTGAATCTTATGAAGACACAAAGTGTTCTAGCGGCTGCTAGCTTTACTGGTAATACACGCTATGAAAAAGAAAAGTTCCTTAGTTTTGTCAAGTTATAATATTGATAAATCACTTCTTGTCCACAGATCAAATAGGTTAGGGGAGGGAGGTATAGGATAATAAAATGTTGAGGGGTACCCTGTAGCATTATATCTAATAGAGTGTCTTCACTCACATGACAAGGCAGCTATTTTGGTGTACCAAAGAAAAGAAACTTTCTGCACAGTTTTTGAATAAAAATAGAGTTTAACTCTCTGAGGATTACAAAAGTATCGTTTTGGTACACCAACATGGCTGCTGTGACGTCTCATGAAAACCATCTGAACTCCAAGTCCTTTTGTGCTACACAATCCAAGAAATGGCAGCAGTATAGTGAGTCCAAAACCGTGAGTCCAAATTTGCTTTTCTCAAATTGACTGGGGGGAAAACTTGTTTTTCTTACTGAGAAAAGGAAAATAACCACAGCTTGACAAAAAAGAAGAAAAAGAAAAACGCAGGATAAACAGTTACTCACATTTGAAGATAACAGCCGAAAGAGCAATGGGACAAACTTATAGTAGATTTGGTCTGAAGTCAGACATTTTGGAAAACAAGCAAATTTCTCCAAGAGTTCCACATGGAGCCGCCAGTTACTTGATGATGCAATCGCCAATTCACATGCTACTAATGACGCAATTAACTCTGATAAATTATTTAACTGTTGAGAAAACAGAAAAAAAATAGTGTTTTCCATGTTATGAATGATGATATTTGATAATTTATTCATCTAATTTATCAACGGGCCCAGTTGCACAAGGGGTGAATAGCGCTATCCGAGGACAACTCTTATGGACCCAGTGAATAAATTTATTGGATAACAGCATCATCTTATACACTGGATAAGGATTTATCTGTCAGATAACACTATACCCCCTTCGTACAACTGAGCCTAGGCAATATAGCTCCTCGGCTCTGGCGTAATGCTTTCCCATTTCAGACACACATCATTCACTTAAGAAAAAGATTCTTTGTTTGATTTGTATCCATATTCATGTGTCTTCTTATGTACAACCGAGCACAACTGTTAAACAAAGAAATGATACTCTAGGAAATGACAAGTGGTCTCATATGGGAAAAGGTCTATTAAGTTGCTTTCTCAGAGTACATACCGGGTAAATGCTTGTTGAAAAGGGAATATGGTGCTACATATAAATTATTTTAATTATAGCATCACTCTATAATCCCATATGAGCAACTATTGTATTATTTTCAAATTCTCTTTCCTGTCCAAATTAAAGAATAATTTGGATCATTTCAATTCACATTCTTTCGAGGGAAAACTATAACTTATGGAATCCGTCTAGTATAGTTTGGGATGATATAATTAATCTGCAATAGGACTACATGTCTGTCCAATTTGGAAATAATTGAATTCAAATAATTCCTCTGACTGCCAAATTGGACTCGGCCTATTGGCCTCTTCCAATTTTGTCAGAATTTTTCTCATCCAGCTATTTCCAAATTGGACAGCATGTAGTCCTATTACCTATTCTAATTGTACCTTAGCTGCATGCCCTCTATTGGCTAAACATTCTAAACTCTCTGGTAAATTTGGAATGAGTCCTTGAAGAACCTGAATTATAATAACATAACAAATTTATCAAGTAAAGCATCTTGGGTCATTTCAATATATATTAGGTGGGTGGAATTTATTACTAGATACAATCAGAAAACACTCTCAGAATTCAAGAACACCATAAGAAAATTGGACTTCAACTAAATGAACGCTAATCAAATGAATGCTATATTCACAGTATTTTAGTTTATTTCTATTTCCTGATTGTATAATGATTATATAGTACATTGTATGTTCATTATATATCACTGATTGTATAATTTGATTATTTCCTGATTGTATAATGATTATATAGTATATTGTATGTTCATTATATATCACTGATTGTATATTGATTATTTCCTGATTGTAAAATGATTATATAGTATATTGTATGTTTATTATATATCACTGATTGTATATTGATTATTTCCTGATTGTATTATGGTTATATAGTATATTGTATGTTTATTATATATCGCTGCTTGTATATTGATTATAGCCACCCTTTGCCACATAATCATTCATTGTGTGTAGGTATGACTTGCTCACCTCTATAGATTCATCTTTTAATAATATACCTAAATCTTGTAATGTAAGGCCAACATTAGAACCCAGAAGTTTAGCAACCTAAGAGGAAATTGAAAGAAATTGGTTATTATCTACAGTATAGGAGTATATTCTTGTTTCCCATTATTTTTAATAACACACCTGTACCATAATGTTTCTAAGACTTGGAAATCTATGAGAAAATATCTTTAAATAGCATTTTCCACTGTTACCAAAAAATAGATATTGCAAAGCCTTGTGGGATCGGAATGTGGACAAACATTTTAAATAAGGACTTTATTACAAGAAAAAGAAGAAAAATATCAATTGTAAAACCATAGTTCTTCCATAAATTCAAAACAACCACACAATAAAACATTGTTACAAAATATTAGCATGTGCCCTTGGCTGGGCTTGTCTGCATTCAATCCCATGATGCACGATTTATTGTGACGTCATCTGTGGAATATGCTATTTACGTAGTGACTACATTAATTTTAATTTAAGCCACCTACCTCATGAAAGCCACATGCAACAGTCCTTCTAACCAATGCATGAGGATCTTCCACAAGATCATGGAAAACTCCTGATAACTCTGTATTAAACTTTTGAGGTCCAGCAAACAGCACCATTGCCTGAGGGGAACAATATTACCAAAAACAAAGGCAATCATTTACTAATGAGGATTAACTTTACATATTTGTTCATAATACGAGAGTCAATAATATATTCTTAAAAAATAAAGATGTGAATGATGGAGATACTTCTTTGATTGTCCTATAATTTTAGTGATCTGTAGTGGATGGTCTAAAAGTATTAATACTCCTTGTTTAATCATCTTGCTGATTGGTACACTGGATGGTATTTAAAAGACAACTATTGCATGATGAAGACCTACTGTACAGTTTGTAGTCGGCATTTTGCAATCCTTTGACACAGATGACTACATGTACCGTCATGGAACAATGAAAAACGTATCTAACTTTGGACAACTTTGGAAAGACAAACCTTTTCAATATAAAGATTTGGATGTCAGAGAAAGATATTGCCCTTTTGCACATTTAAAACTTACAGGTAAATTGTACGCACAACATCTTCTACATTCTGCATCATCATCATCTTGTATTGTTGCTCCAGATAAACTATAATTCTGTTTGGATCAGTACATAAATCAATTAATATAATTGGTCGACTTTGTATAAATAGCTTAATTGATAAAAACTCATATTTTACAGCCATCACTACCTGACTGTATGGGACTCTTTCATGAGGTACACTCCATGCACACTACCACTACATTATATATAAATTTACAAAATACAACACTCCTCTCATGTTGATTTTTACAGTGGGAGGAAACCCTGAGAATCTGGAGAAAAACCCTAGTGGCAAGAGAGAGAACTACACAGCAAACAAACTCAACTCACATACATACAATCCAGCCCAAACTAAGTCTAGAACCCAGACAACAGCCGTGAGGCAAGCAGTCATTAAAACCATAATGCTACCCTCAGCTCTTGTTGTGAATACACTGTTAGTAATGAGAGTTCTTTACTCTACTGTATTGTACTGTACTGTACCTGAAGTGCCAATGTCACACTTCCAACTTTATTATTTTTGTTTGGATTTCCACAACCACATAATCTTCTGTAATAGTCAAGGAACCACTTCCTTTGGTTTTCATCAAAATTGACTGTAAAACAAAAAAGAAATCCTCTATTGACTAATGTTTTCACTATTAGGATGGAATAGAAAAGAAATACACAGATGAACACTTGTATCTTGATAAAAGACCCCTTCCAGCTTAATTAGGTGTAATGTTTTTTTGTTTTTATTTCACACATGCCATTCCCTAAGAATTATTCATCTGCCTACTAGTAACACTTGAGAAGATAATAATTATAGAATATCATTTAATATATAGAATATCATTTCCCCTGGAACTGCACATAGACAATTTGGGAAAACATTATTCTCTAGTTTCTTTTATTCACACAGTCATACTGTCACCAGTAGACGCATCACTTTACAGGGGCCACAGAGGGGGTGAGGCTGGGGGGGGGGGGCCTATAGCACCCCCTTTTTCCTTTTACCCATACTAGTCTCTTATATTTTCCACTCTTAGCGGCCACCCCCCCCCTCCATTTTTCCCATACTAGTCTTCTATATAACCTGATCTTAGCCCCCCACTTTTTAGTAAGCAGACCCAGTCTTCAATCTTAACATACCTGACAACCCATGACATAATTTTCCAAACAATTTGGAAACTTTAATTAATGACTCTTTTCCATAATTATTGCATTTTTCACAGAATTTCTGTACAAGTGGTATTATGACAGTAGTGCAGGTATCTGAAAAGATAAAATATTATTACACTAATTATTTTAAAATTTGTTGATCATCTAACAGCCTTGTGCGCCTTTTGGCGTGAAGAGTGATAATGATTCATAAGAAAAACAACAGAAACTGCGGTCCCCAAACCAACAGTACCAAAAGCGATATCAGCAAAACAAAATCAGAAACAACAATGTCAACAACAGCATCAATGACGACAACAACAGCATCAACAATGAAAGCATATAACAATCACTTTATATAAATAAAAACAATTTGGTATACACACCATCATCTAAAAGGCTTAGAAGATTCGTTATACTTTCTAATCCAACAAGCCGAACACTATTTTCTTCATCATTAGTCAATTCAACAAGTTCAGGAATAATAGTGGTTTTTGTCGTTTCCAATCTGTAACAAAAATATAATTATATCAAAATTAAAATAATCTAAACAATCTATTTAGCTTTCGCTGTTGTGTGACAATCACAACAGTCGAGCTAGTTCCAACTACTTTTAGAATACAACTTTCATATTTCATATTTTGAATATAAGTACATGTATACTGCAAAGTTTGGATGACATTCATCAAACACTCAGAGATATACTGAAATCTATGTTAAAAGAAACTGTGAGTTGAAAATTTTACGTCATCAACTTCCTGATTAGCATAAATTTAAAACTTAAATATCTCTTGAACCAAGAACGCTAACAAGAAATGAAAAATCCCAGTTTTCTTCTTTTCAATTAAAGTACCTTAACAAGTGTTTCAATAGTAAAGATTGGGCATATCAAAATTTCATTGTAGTGGCAATTTAAATTATTCTCTATAATATATATTATTTAATAAATTGTGTAGACTGTGTATAATTCAAAGCATTACTTACCCAAGAGCTCTTGCTATTGGTTCAAGTTCCTGACACATACAAGCTCTTACTTCATAATCAACATCTTGTGACAAAGAAGTCACTAGCATCATCAATTCCTTCTTTATCCTAATAAGGTGATTAGCATATCATTTACATATAATCACCAGCATGAATTTAACTTTATTAACACCAAATAATACTGCATGAAATATTAGTCATTATTATATAGATATCGATGAAATACCAGGTTTTCTCTAGTGTTGAAAACTTGATATCTTTTACCAGTGGAAGATACCATACCTTTCACACGTGAAGATATCGCTGTTGACATAGTAACGTAATCGGCTTGCTATTTTAATAAAGAATTTTTGAGCTTTTGTTTTATTTAAGTTTCATCGATATCTATATAATAAACAGAACATTACATGGCCGCTTGGAGATACAAATATTATCTTCTCGTGTTCAATTTAGATATCTCACTCGTTCGCTGTGCTCACTCGTGAGATATCAATTATTGAACACTCGAAGATAAAATTTGTATCTCCACGCGCCCATGTAATATCCTCTATTTAAGTTCAAAACACTATTTTGCATCAGAGCTTGAAGAAAAGGAAATCAGTAAGCAAAAACCTGATAAAATTTTGCTTGTCACTTTATTGTGCATTTGGCAATTCAAAATTATTTTTGTCATATTAATATTTGGCCAGCATTATGGCCATTGGCATACAGTCATTTAAAGATTTTGATCCCTATACATGCACTTACCAGAATGGCTCAAATTTTGGTGCAATACGTCCAAGTAGCTTACAGCTTGCAAGGCGACAACTGACAGACTGTGATAGTTGTCCCTTGGATATGGCCAAAGGTACAATCTGATTAATGATTAAAGATCCATTAATTAACCCAAATTTGATACTATGAAAATCAGCCACTCAATTCTCACTATTTCAACTGGGACACAAATACTTGCCTCTCTTTTAATGACATCTTTTGGTAAAAAATCTATAGAGAACAGAAGAGTTTCTAACCAAGCATCTGAAATTACTGTCCAAAAAAAAAAAAAAAAGAACTCAATATGGGAACTATAAAATTAAACAGGTTTCTCATTAAGGTTGGAGATTGGAGTATGCTCCAGTATAATTGAGAAAAATTCTCTGACTTAAAAGTACCATTGATAATCTTTCCTATTACTTCAAAAGTTAATAACAATAATAATTAATTAAATAATTAATTACTTCAAAACTTAATGACAAACTTCCAGGACTCTCCAGCTAGTTCATGAACTTCTCCTATTATTTCAGAACTTAATGAAACCCCTGGTTAATAATAAACTTTTTGCAATAGATTGACACATGATTGTTACTGGATGGCAAAAATATTTGGACTTCCTTTTTTTAAAGATTTTTTGCTGGATTACTAATGTCGTATCCAAAACCTTTTCATACATACTTTTTTCCCTTATGTAAAATACTTTCAAGATACGAAACATTTTAAAGTTTGTTTGCCATCCAGCAGAGCCTTCCTTGAGCTGAACTGATTCATTATCAAAGTCATATACTCTATCAGCATGTGACTGTTTGTTGCAAAAGGCCTATTGAGAAATAAAAAAGGGTATGGGGAATGTTATGTAGTATAACACAATAATATCATTACTGTTGCTTACCAGAATCCCTATTATTAATATTATGCAACACTATTGGTAATAGTGATGAAGAAAACAGGTAGATAGGTAGAGTTGAATTTTGCAGAACAACTGTAAAAGACTTTGTTGCAGCAAGCTGTATATGAACTGGTGCAACATATAAATAATCCTGAAATTTCAAAAAAATCCACTTTATCTTAAATGTTTTTGCTTACAAATATTGCATACAATCTGTTTACACCATGAGTACAACATGAATGAGAGCAGTTTTTGTATGACTGTGAAAACCTCACGGCATGAACACGGTCGTGACATGGTCACACATAGTCACAGGACTGCCAGACCAAGCACATGCATTATGCAAGAAAAAAATCAGAAAATTGAAATTCTAGAAAACATCACGGCCACTGCACCRCATGCTTAACACACTGAGCTTTTTACAATCATGCGAAAACTGCTCTAGGTTTTGTAAGTCAAGGCACTGTAAACTCTCATACAGAAATAAAATTTAATGTACTGACAGGGCTTAAAACAATAGCTGGTAAGTCACCACCTGTCATGATGACAGGCCAAATTAGTTTTAGCTTGGTTATACTTCATGTCTGGCTTAACTTTACTGGTTAAAATGATTGGTAAGGAAATAAATTGACCCAACAAGTTCAATTCTGAGTGGTCATTGTCCAACACCTGGCTGTTATTTTAAGCCCTGACTGGAGGAAGGAAAACCAGAGAACATGAAGAAAACCCCTTGAATCAAGGAAGACATCAAACAAACTCAGTTTACAAGTGCTACAGAGTCCAGGAATCAAACCCAAGACTCCAAAAAGCAGTATTGACAGATTCTTTCTTCTATAAGCTCTACTGCAGTTTTCCATACTTTGGGAACTCGGGCATTCCAACAGCATGTTGTGAAATGGGCTTTTTACTGCCGGCAGTCAAGAACATAAAAGGTCCAGACTGATTATTTTTTTGTCGACGGAAGTGAAAAACCAAATTTTAGAGTGCAGCTTGTGACTACCCAGTTCACAGAATATTGAAAACCGCATAACCCCTTCATGAAATATCATATATAATCTTAAACTAGGATTACAACATAAATATTATATTTTATATCATATCTCATTCCTTATAGCACAGACTCACCCTTAATAAAGGAACAACTCTCCGATTGACATCACTACTGTTGGTTTCTAGAAGTTTGGGCAATTTGTTCAAGATGCTCAGTTTTTGAGTCTCGATGCCAGAACTGAAATGATAATGCAGTAGATTATTATCAACTTGTTTACCTTGCTATAAGTGATTTCTTTGAACATCACAATGCCTGTCAAACAACTTTCATTTTCAATGATCACAGTGACTTCCTTTAATTAGCCATTTCTTTGTTATTATAATATAACTACTTTGCTTTAATGGTTTTCCACGGCATAAGAAAGAAAAAAATTATGGTGCCAGACTTGAAACAGGAAATAACTTCCTTTATATTGAAGCGGGTTAGCCATTACAAATGAAGAGGACAAAATAATAAGGTTTTATATAAATATATAAATGTGTGAATAATAAAATTTGCGTATCATATATAGAAAAATTTATTCAAGATCAAAATATCAAACGTGTACAGTTCATGACCTCAATTTCCAAAATCTCTTTCCATGTCTAATTAGGTTTATTTTTGACTACCTGAACAGTGATAATGCAGTGTATATAAGTTGCTATAAAACGAAAAAAGTGCCTTGATCATTAATGGTAAAATCATTACAGAAATTATCTGACAAACGCTAATACATGTAGTTAAAGTTTGAAACGAATTACAAATAATGGTTGGACATTTGGAATTTGTGCTTAAAAGAAATCCCTTAATTGAAGCTCACATATTTTGAATCAATTAACTCAAGCTTGAATGGATAAGTGAATTTTCCTTGAAGTATTAATTAAAGAATTTTGTTAAATTACTGGACTAACATATTAATTTAATTTCTAATAGTACTACTAAAAGTTCTAAAAATATTACAGATGCATACTATACTGAATTCTAATACAATTTATACAAATAGAGGTTTTGATAAAAATCATGCATTTTTACATGAAAATTAAAAAAGGCATTTTGGTAAATGTTTCTCACACAAAATGTGTGGAACCCTATATGAGTATATATATATGTATGAAAAGAAAGGAAAAAGAAAACAATCTAACAAAATTAAATGATGAATTGTAGACAAATTTCTGTGGAACTATGACATTTAATTTTGCTCAAAACCTTCTAAGCAGGGGGCAAGGAAAAAACTGTCAAATGTGATAGTACCTTATATACGGTATCACAGTGTGTTAGATAATATTTTCTAATTATCCAAAAACTATTCATGGTGTCCTAGAGATTTTAACACAGGGTGTATATTCACAGTGAAAACTATTAAACCTATAAATTTAAAGCAACATTTATATTTTTATTTTTAGTTGAAAATAGGTGGTACTGTTATTTTAGTAATTATTGGAGGAAAAAAGTCAAAATTTTGACAAATACTTTCATAATATTAAATTATGAGGTCAAAACAATTTTGTTTTATCTTTATTTCTGTCCATGAGGTGGACTAAGATAGCTTTTGCATGTACTCTAGGTTTTATCAAATCCTTCATATTGTCATATTTCTTAATGTTCTATTATTCAATGTTTTAGCCACTCAACCATCACTGTCAAATCCCTTGTAGGTTGTTTCCTTCCAATTAGCATTATTGTTTCTGGATATTCACACCTATAATACACAATACAAAAAACTAGCAGAGAAAAAGACATAAAAAACGTCCATAAATAAAAAATAAAGATAATAATAGGAGCGTTAGTTTTATATTTATTATTATTTTACTAAAGCATTTTGAGAAAACAACAGATAAGCCAGAGGTGAGCAGACAAAACTTGAAACTCAATTCCAACAAATGAAATCTTTCTTCGAGATAATGCAACGACAATTTAATTAGCATATTGAACGATCTCAAGACAATCCTTTTTGTTAAAAGTTCCTTTTTCCAGTAACAGTGTTTTTAACAAAAACTGCGAAACGGAAATACAATTTCCTCGAGGTAGGAAAGAAGTCGTCTGTGAGACTAATATAGCACCTTTTACCCAAGATGTTTTGATGAGGGTTTGCAGGTTCAATCATATTGTGCTTTACAGAATTCTTTAAACACACACAAAAAGAAAAAAACCCAAAGATTTGAATGATTGCAAAGATCATTTCCTACCACACATAAAAAGAAAATATAAATGGAAACGATTTTTTTAAGCGTAGTGTTCTGGATCAGGAAATAATCAACTACCTATTCTTAGAAAATTACTCGATCATAAACGACATGGAATTGAAGCGTTTAAATAATATCGCTTTAAGGAAATGTCTTAAGAGAGAAGAAATTTATATGGCGTGCGATTATTTGATCGCTAGTTGAAAGTTGGCTTGAAAAACTAAGATCTTCATCAAACAAACCCACTAACCGCGAATGAAACCATAAGCAATAATTACCACCACCATTGTGCTTCTTGGATGTTTACGGTTGCCTCGATACAGCTACACTACAGCTACTAAAGCAAATACTACCAGTAAATGAACTATACATTTGTTTGTTAACTCAGAAATTATAAAGTCCTAGGCAAACACAAGCGCTACGCAGTTCTTCGGTCAAAACATATGGCTTTTCGTTTCAAACGTAAAATCTCCTAGAAACTTGTTTTTAACTTGCATAAGTTTGTTCACTACTAGGTACTTTTGTTATTCAGTATCATACTTAAAACAACCCCATGTACTGCAATTAGTTCATCAAAAATTGATTTTGAAGTATGGATATAAGGTTAAGCTGCAGAGATTACTGCTAATTTGCTCTAAATGAACGTTAGATACGCTCAAACACCACTAAACAACTCACCTCATGAGAAGCACTGCCCGCTCTATGTCATCGAGGTTTTCGTCAACTGTCAGCCTTTCTATTTCTTCTGCTGACTGTAAAATACATTGAAATTTCATTGACCATTGATGGAAATCCTTTTCTAGTCATTCCTTCTTTTCTTGCAAATGCTATGTAATAAAAACAAGCTCACCTTTAGTCCTCGTATCGAGCGCTCGGAGCGTAATTCTTCAACATCCTCTTCTCCAAGAGGACCCGCTCCGGCCCAATCCATGTCACGATTTAGAAAAACTCTGCTGCCTCCAGGTCATTTTGGAGTGGTCGTCGTATCTATAAGGCAAATATGTTCTGCGCATTTCCGCCCATTACTTATTTAAGAGACATAACGGTAGTTTAATCGAGGTATTTTGGCTCCATTGACGCTTCTTTCCCAAAACTTTTGTTGGCCTCGCGCCTTGGTATCCATCCCAAGATGCACCTTGAACAGTACAAATGAACAGTCGACTAACAGTCGATTGTTACTCGTTACTGCTCGTTACTCGTCAACAACCGATCGATAGTTCTTCGGGGCGTAACAAGTAAACCAAGATGGCTGCCTCAAGGGTTCTTTCTCGATTTTCTCGTAGAAGTACTACTGTCCCAAGGAGTGTAGGAATTAGATTTGCAAGTAAGGTATGCAGATAAGTAAATTGTGCAGTTATTGTTTGGTTAATGCTTGAACGTTTTCGCCATTTATGATGTATTTATGTGGATGTGTGGGAGGACGACCTCCCGGGACGACCTAAACATAAAACTTAATTTTGGGGAAATTGTTTATATAAGCTTGGTTAATTTGTATTGTATATCCGATATAACAAAACCTCTTAAAAAATAAATTAAATTCTAGTCAACTAACACCTAAATATATTAATCAACTTTTAACTTTAGCACATACAGGGCAAAATTACTTTACTCGATGTTGATTGGCTAATGAAGGAGGGCTATTTTTCCTTAATTAGAACAAACCATTAATTTGAACATGTGACACAGAGGGTCTGGACCCCCTACCCCTACCTCCCCCCTCCCCACCCCACCACCCCCTGGATCTGCCAAATCACTGTTATGGTTATTTCCAATAAAATAGTGAGTCATATTTCTATCCTGTTCTAGGATGTAAGAAATGGTTTTATTGACCTTGTAGGAAGGTATGTTTAATAAAATCGTCCTTGTTTTATAAGGGTAGCACTTATAGAAAGTGGCAAACAAACCTCGGCCCAAAAAACCCCTATTACTGGTTCGTCAGAATGCAGCTAAAGTTGGAGGACAAAACAAAAGAATTTAATCTCCTGAGAATTGAAAACCTTTTGTTAAGTCCTCTGCATTGCAACATTTTGCAAGGGGTCTATCACATGATAGAATTGCAATTTAGAAAAGCAAACCTTTTGAGAAGGGGAAAAAACAAAGAACCTGTAGAAAATGAAGAAGAAAATGAAAATGAAGCACAGGAATAACCAGCAAGCAGCTCTACTCACATTATGACAAGATGAAGGATCAAACCCATGACTGTAGCGATGGGAGAAAGTGCATTGCAGTGCACACCACCCACTCTTCCTGTTTATTCTTATTGCTGTATTTTTGAATCATTCAGTTATTAATTGAATATAATATGTACTGTATTAAATGTGCTCATTATATTATTATTATTCCATTCCAGAACCCCACTGATAAGGCTAAATAAACTTAGCGAAGAAACAGGTACTGTACATGTATTAATTATCCAACTATACTCCGTAGAGTGCAAATATCAGTGTAAATATACTCTACGATCATAATTTACTGTGTACATAATGCAATTTTCAATATTTGGTTATTAAATAAATCATAATAAATGAATAAAATATGACCCCCTTATTTAACCCTTTCTTTCATGTAGTTGGGTTTTTTCTCAAAGTAATTTGGGAAGGATTAATAAATTCAATATTTGAATAATGAAATAATTAATGGTACCTATGGGGGTAAGCTTGAGCCATTTTGACTGCATAATAATATGTATAATAATGATATAACTCAACTTACTTTGTCCACTGTTTAAATCAACTTTCAAATACTAAGCTGAATGAATAGACTTAAGAAGAAAAGTTAGATAAAGGAAAAGAAATTAAGGATTGAATGGAAGGAGCTGGGAAAGGGGGAGAAGAAAGAAGAAAGGAAAGAGGGATTGTTTTCAATGGAAAAAAGACTGGAAATAAATCATTGGCAATACTTGTACATATTTTCCTAGGTTGTGATATTACAGTAAAAGCAGAGCATATGAACCCAGGAGGCTCAGTAAAAGACAGGGCTGCATTATATCTTGTCAAGGAAGCTGAAGAAAAAGGTATATTAAATTCTAAATCAAATCCCAGGAATCCTGAACTTTTGGCCCTGTTATCTCAAACTTGAGGCCAGTTCCAATGGACTCAAGATGCTAAAATAATTTTACCTTAAGTTGATATTTCAAATAGCCTACATTTTTACAAACCTTTTCTTTGGTCCCCAGAAGATTGAATATAAAAACTTAACTATATTTTAACGTTTATCAATTCATCTACAGTACCTCTCTGTTCTGTTGAGGATTATACTGGTTGTAGACAGGCAGTTGCTACACACATTCATTAAGATTTTGATATACATAAATTATTATTAATTGGAGCATAAATAATTAATTATCATAGAATAATGAAGCTATGCATGTTCAGCCAGCACTACCCCCTCCCCCTCAACTATTCTAACTTATTCTTTTTTCATTTTTGTTCAAGGTGTTCTCAAACCAGGTGGTACTGTAGTGGAAGGAACAGCAGGAAATACAGGTATAGGCCACTGATGATATAAGATTAGACTGTTAACTGCTGTTTTCAATATTCTGCAAACTCTGTAGTTACAAGGTGAATGCTGATGCTGATTTTTTTTTATTTTGCTGCCGTCAATCAAAAATAATCAGTTGGTACCTTTTGTGTTATTGACTAGCGGCAGTGAAAAACCAATTTCATAACATGCCGTTGGAAAGTCTGAGTTTGCAGAATATGGAAAAACGCAGTGACAATCCATCTTTTTACTCCTAGTTAAGGTAAAGTTTTTTTCTTGTTTTGGTTGAGTGGGGAGTGGGAACAAGAAGCAGCACTTGCCCCCCACTCCCTTTGTGGGTAATCGTGTACTTCATGACCACCCGACACGTGTCGGTCAACTATCGCCTAACTGTTGGTCGACAGTCGCCCAACTATCGGCCGTTTGTTGGCCGACACTCAACCGACACTTCACCAACACTCCATTATCAAATCTTTTTCTCTTTGTGTTTCCAATTTAGCAAAAATACTCGACTCGACTGCTGGGATAAAAGAGGGAAAATAGTGATGGTTAACAGTCTAATATAAACCAAAACATAAAGGAAAATTTAAAAAATCAGAGATAAAGACCTTCAGATAATATATATTTAATTATATTTTTTCAGTCTCATATCCTAAAAGTCATGCATTCTGTTTGGCTGTTGGAGCAGACAATATTTTCTATCTGTAACCATGGCCTAGTATCCTGACTGCTTATGCCATCAGAGCTTTATTACTAAAACTAATGTTTATAACTATTTGATTGTGATATTTTTTAGGGATAGGTCTTGCTCACATGTGTTTAGCAAAAGGTTACAAATGTGTCATATTCATGCCAAACAACCAATCTCAGGTAAGATTCATCATATGCGCCCCCCCCTCCCAATTTTGGCCTCTATGCAGGCTAGACTAATACAGAAATCCTGGAAAACAATTGGTGGTTCTTACAGCTTATTTTGTTTGAACATAACTGACATGATAATATTTTTCCTCTAAATCTGTATCAAAGTGTTAAATTGATACCCAACGTAGGTTGGTGGTGATTCACGTTTTTTTTAAAACATTTCCTTCTCTTCAATAGAAATGATAGGCCTTTTGTGAAAGATTGACTGGTGATTGTTACTTGATGGAAAAGAAATTTGGACTTCCTTTATTCAAAGATTTTTTGCTGGATTACTAACGTCTTATTGCTACCTCAAGGGTTTTTCTCCGGGTTCTCCGGTTTTCCTCCCTGTGCAAAAATCAACTTCTAAATTCTAACTCAATCTAGATTGGCCTAGTTGAAAATTACTCTGTGTAATTCTAGTTACACTAATGATATATATATTATATTATATTATGTATACATATATATTATGTATATATTTTTTTTTTATCCAAGACTTTTTCAAAAATACTTTTTCCCCCTAAAAGATACTTTGGATTTCAAGATATGAAGCAGTTTAAAGTTTGTTTGCCATCCAGCAGAGCATTCCCAAGGGACTCTAGCTGAATTGATTGATTATCAAAGTCATATATCAGCATGTGACTGTTTGTTGCAAAAGGCCTATTGCAAGCTATCTAATATTACTAATTTTAAATAATTGCAGAAGAGTACTATAATTTTTATCTAAGTTTTTCCTAAATTTTTTTTTAATCCAGGAAAAAATAGATTTACTAAAAGCACTAGGAGCTGATGTTCGACCTGTGCCTGTCGTTCCATTTGATGATCAAATGAACTATAACCACCAAGCTAGAAGATTTACAGAAACATTAGAAAATGCTGTATGGACAAATCAAGTAAGTATTTTGCCAAAGATAATAGGTAGGATGGCTGGACTTATAGGACAACTGATTGACAATTGATTCAAGACTACTGTTAAATAATAACTGCTCAAACTTTTGAAGAAACTAATAGAACAGAACTAATGCAATCTGTATGATGGTGTAAACATTAATCCAAATATTGGCATATTACTACTTGTTTCTTAAATAGTTGATTTTGTTTTTATTTTTGCGTGATTTTTAGTTTGACAACACAGCAAACAGAAGGGCTCATTTTGAAACAACTGGTCCAGAAATCTGGCAGCAGACAAATGGCCAGGTTGATGCAATAGTCTTTGGTACAGGAACTGGTGGAACCTTGGCAGGTAATGAAATACTGTAGTTGTGATCAGAGAGTCAGTCCATCCATCTGTCTGACTGTCAGTCAGTCAATTTGTCAATTTATCAGACCATCAGTCAATTCGTTCATCTGTCAGACCATCTATTAGTCCATCCATCAGATCATCAGTAAGTCAATAGGGGGAGTCAGTCTGTCAGATAGTCAGTTCATTTGTGTGTCTGTCCATCATTCATTCAGATGGTATGTCTTGCATTTTGTTATGTAGTCCAACCATCAGTTAGTTTGCCAATCCATCAGTCTGTCAGATAATCAGTCCATCCATCCATCATTCAGTCAGATAGTCAGACAGACAGACATTCAGTCAATAACGTACATTCAGTAATGTCTGTAATTCAGATCATCATAATCAGTCAACTTAATATTGTTACTAAACATTATACCACAATATGGTTTTCTAATGAACTTATCAACACTTATTGTTTTTAATTGTAGGAACTGGATCTTTTCTCAAATCAAAAAATCCAAATGTAAAAGTTATTTTAGCAGATCCACAGGTAATCTAATGCTATGCTTTGGAAATGAAGGGTTTCAACTTTTTGTGTCTGCACTTCTTTCTATTTTTTTTTTTTTTTTCTTTTTCCAGTGTCCTCCTCCATTATCGTGTATGTATGTCCACTGAGTCAACCCAAACTAAGTCTATATTTCTCTAATGTTAGGGAAGTGTTTTATATAATTACTTCAAGATTGGTGAGCTTGTCAGAACTGAAGGAAGTTCAATAACAGAAGGTAATAAATTAAATTAAAATAAGATTATGGAAAAGGGGCTGCTCATTTTCATTTACCCTCTTTYCCTACCTCTTCCCTTCTCCCTTCTTCTTTCCTTTCCTCTTTCCTTGTCGGCTCTTTCTCTTTTCTTTTGCCTTCCTTCTGCTGCTCATTTTCATTTACCCTCTTTTCCTACCTCTTCCCTTATCCTTTCTTCTGTCCTTTCCTCTTTCCTTGTCGGCTCTTTCTCTTTTCTTTTGCCTTCCTTCTTTTGCCTTGCTCTCCCCTTTATTTTCTCTCTTTTCCTTCCTTCTCGTCTTCCAACCTCTTAGTATCCCATCTCTCTTCTTTCATAAACCCTTAATAATAATAATGCTGACTGCCACAGAGTGCGCACTTCATAAAATAGCAGTACCAATATACAAATAATACAAATACTGTTTGTCTGCAAACTCTGAACTCTTATTTGTCCAGGGATTGGTCAAGGCAGAGTAACAAGTAATCTACAAGGAGCACCAATAGATGATTCTGTATTCATACACGATACAGAAGCTATAGAAATGGTAAACGACTAAAATAATTTTCATGCTGCTTGCGCAATGATCCAATGGCGGATCACGCCATAATTTTAGGGGGGGGGGGCTAATTGAGTTTCTTCCATCAACACAACGAAAAACAATATAAAAAAGCATCGTTTTTTTATGCTGAAAAAAAACGATGCTTTTTTATATTGGGACTTCAGCTCCCCCCCCCCCCCCCCCCCCACTGGATACGCCCTTGTGATCGCATATATTTATTTAGTAATGGATTTCAAGATTGGTTATAGGTAGTACACTCTCCCCCCATCTCTTGGGTCTCTCCCTTGATTTGAGGATATTACTCTTTCCCCAAAACCAACACGCTAATTTCCAATTCCATCTAGTATGAACTTACCTTGCCTTAGCTTCCTTCGCAGCTGCATCAATAAAGGAAAACTAGCAAGTAAGCTAGTTGGAGTAGCGTTAGTGTATGAAGCTAAAAGAAAATGGTATAATTAGTTCAATTGAACGAAATTAGGCAAAAGAAACAGCTAGCTAACGCTTACACAGTTTCTTCTCCGGTTCCCAATTCTTTTATTGCTGACTCGGTGAATATTACTGAGTAAAATATATTTTGATTTGAAATTTCCAGACGTACTTTTTACTTCACGAGGAAGGTTTCTTCGTCGGAGCCTCGTCGGGTCTGAACGTAGCAGCGGCAGTCAAGGTAACGAACTAACCGTTATAGTTTCAGTAGGGATGGTCATTTTCATTGCAGATTTGGAATATACCTTTTAAATTTGTGTATCCATTGTCACCAGCATCTCTATTCTTCATCGTTACCACTATCATCGTTATCATGACCACCACCATCAACGTCACAAGCATCTCCATCATCATCACTATCATCGTTATCATGACCACCACCATCATCTTCACCTACATCTCCATAATCTCTATCATCATCGTCATCATCACCATCATCGCTATCGTCACCACCACCACCATCGTCACCAGGATCGTAATTTTTATTATCGCCATCACCATCTTCATCATCAACACGCGCCATCATCGTCACCAGTATTTCCATCATCATCATCACCATCATCACTATCACCAGCACCATCGCCTTCAGGATCTTCATCATCTCTATCATCATCACCATCGTTATCGATAGGCTGAAAATGAATTATCGGTTGTCTATAATCACACGCTAAGACCATGGCTATGAACTACGAACTTTCTGTACCGTCTTGCCCAGGACTACCGTCACAGTGCCAAACTATCTGGCTCAAAAAGTTATGTCACGGATCATATTAAATATCAAGGTCCCCCGCTAGTGAATCACGCCAGGTCGCGCCGGGTCGTTTTTCCACGCCTTGGGCCACATATCGGCGCGCTCGCGGCCGAGTTCTCGATTCGGTCAATTATTTTCACTTATATTT